GCAGAAAATGATCCATCTGAAATCAATCTACCTATTTTTACGCGGTAGATCCATGCTGCAGCTATATTAATAGTATAGTTGTAGCACTAATTGGTCGGCTCGACCGGAGAAAAACTTATCGCTGCTGTGTTTCGTATGGTGAGTGTAGAGAACCGGAGACCCTTTTTACTGGAAATGAGGCATTCCATCTTAGTCTTAACAAGTGATAACGTATCTGCATTTGGATTTGTAAGCGAGAATAGATGTAGATGTCTATGAGCCGCAGCAACTACTTACCATGAGGTGGACTCTGTGCTCGTTTGTCACCCTTATCCTATAAAAAAGTCATTTGATGCTAAAATGGGGAAAGCAAACAAAGCAATGAGTTCTCTTAACTGTGCTCAAACACAAAGTGTCAAAAGAAAAAATTATTTTGCGAAAACAGAAGAAAATGTATTTGAAGACATTTATTAGCAAATTTTTGTAAACATATTTTAAAATTACCTTAATATCACTGAATTTTTCATAATAATGTCGCATCGGGAACATGTCAAAATTCTGGCAAAAATCCATTCGAGTACGTACGAGTATGTATTGGCTGCATATACCTACTTAATAATCTTTACGAGATAAAATAGATTTTATTGAATCCGGTTCATTTTTCTGAATTCACGGATAATAAGCAAAAAAAGATGATATGTAGTTTTATTGCTTAAAGAAATATAAATATTATTATTCTAAGCTACGAATAACACCTATCCTTTTTTACTTATATAGGAGAGGGGGCAAACGAGCATACGGCTCATCTGATGGTAAGTGACCGCCCACACAACTGCAACACCAGGGGAATTGCAGGTGCGCTGCCGGCCCTTTAGAAAGGAGTAAGCTCTTTTCTTGAAGGTATAAGTCGTATCGTCTAACGTATCGGTCCGGACTAATCGCTGGTGGAAAACTGTTCCCCAGTGAGGTCGTACGAAGAAGAAAACTCCTAGTAAAACGTACAGTGGTGAACCGCCAAGCATCCAGATGGTGTGGGATGATATGGGGAGTTTTGTCGCGATGTGCGCTTGTGTAATTTGGCTGCTGGAATTCAGTCATCGACGATTCGAGCGGCTCTGCACTGGCAGCGATCAAGAAGAAGTAGCTAGCGCCCGGGAGTCCCAGCCCAGAGATGGGAACATTATTCCATATGAAACTGCACATCATTTGATATGTCGACGTCTAGGATTCCGATACTGGCTGATGTAACAAAGGGAGTGCCTTGAAACTGAGTAGATACGAAAAAGGGTGTTTTGCGGTAAACGATTAAACTATTAAATGATTAAATAGATTAAATGGACGAGACCCCAATCCGAGACTTTGTTCAGCAAAGACTCAAATTCAGACACAAGTTTTTTCCAGTACTCGGCGCCGTTATCCTGGGAAGTATTGGCACGGCCTGTGTATAGAGCATCACTAGTGCTGCCATCCGCATAGCAATGAATGTCACCGGTTTGCAACATATCATTGATATGCAGAAGGAACAGCGTTGGTTGCACGCAGCCTTGTGGAACACCAGCATTAATAGGGTTGTAATCTGTCTACTACGATCTTGATGCTCCGATCTGCAAGAAAACTGGTGATCCAATTGCACAATTTCTCAGGAAGCCCATAAGAAGAGGGCTTTGTATCAAACCCAATAGAAGGCCTTCGTATGTCCAAAGTAGCGGCCTCCCCCTTCCTCCCCCATAGATTGCCTCATAGGAGGGATATATGACAAGCGTTGGCAACCACATTTTTTTATTTTGTCTTTATTAAGAAGACGCTGCTGCCCATCTTCTGATTTGTTTCCCTATGTCGCCTTTCAAGACACCCAGGCGATGATGACATGAGGTAAATTAAAAACCAAAAAGAGATCGAGATAAACCTTATACAAGTGATCGATATTCGGGTTTGACTTTTGATACCTATAGACAAAATTAATAAAAGAAAACAATGAAGCATAAACGCAAAACAAAACTTTGAAGATCATAATATTTACATTAATAAACAAAAGTTAATGATATCACAAAACATAAACATAGATGTGATAAGGGGGCCAAGTTAATTACAAACGATGTTCGGGATTGTCGGGTTCGCCAATAAAAGCATTAGAATCTGAATTCCGAATGGGTGCCAAGCTCCATAGAAGTTACTTAATTCATACTAATAGAAATGTACAACGTCTCCTCAATTGATTTGAAAAAAAGATGGCTAACAACGCATCTGCATTTTAATTGTTGTTTGAAGTAAAATTTAGGTGTATATATAAGTGAAAGCATCCACTTACCATCAGGTGGACTGTATGCTCGTACGGACTGCATACACTCTTAATAAATAATAATAAAGCCTCATATTTCTTGTCTCTACATTTTGCATTTCAAATTTTGTTTATTAGTAATAGTAGCTTAATTTATATTAGTTATTAATTGTACGGTAACCTATGCATAGTTTCATAGATATGGATCTCGTTTTGAATAAAGGCCTCCTCTAGATGCTTCCACAACTCCCTATTTTTACTTTTACTCATCCAGTATTTTCCTGTATACTATATTAAGTCATACATTTGCCACCATTGATGTGGTTCAATTTTCTCTTTGCCAGATATTGGTCCCTACCATCCTGTGTTTTTTATTATTCACTTATTATCTGGGTATCGTGAAACGTGTCCAGCCTATTTCCACTTCAACGTTAGGTATTTGCGTAAGTGCATCTGATATTTTTGTTTTTGTCTTATTATGTTGTTCTTGATTTTATGTGTTTTGGTGTTTTATTAATATTTCATATACTTCATGGCTCTCCATTTTGTATTAATTTTCTGCTTCACTCGGTTTGTCCACGTATGGCAGCTGTATAGTGGACTTGGCAAGAGATAGGTGTTTACAATCCTCTTAGAATTTCTTTTTGTGACCAAAAGGTTTTCCATGTAGTTTATTTTCTTTCTACTTCATCTTCTTTGTTGGTTTTAAGGGTAAGGATTTAAAGGTTTGATTTTAAGTTTAAGTTGATTTTAAGGTTTTCCCAAGTAGCAGAAGAAGAAAAAAGATTAGTTTCTTTACGTATCTACTCGTATATTGTATATTTTTACGATGATGGGTATGTTGTGGCTTTTAGTCATTATGGGGCTTTTTTGGTCTAGTGAGTAAAGCATATACTTAAGTGTTTAGCTGTTTTAGCAAAAAATACTATGTTATCTGCTAACCTGAGATGACTTAAACGACGAATATTAAGGCCACATTTTGTCCATATTACATTTTTAAATATTATATTTTCCAACACAGCAATAAAAAAGCTTCGGCGACAAAGGGTCGCCTTGCCTGATCTCTCCTTTTAAACTTAGCGCTACTTTTACTATTTAAGTATATATATTTTATGATTTATATGTATTTATCGTTTAGATTTGATATTTTCAATGCATTCCAGATAAAACAATGGCTGATGATGCCAGAGGCTTTACTGTAGTCAATAAAGGCGACATATAAAGATTTAATAACTTCATTGTATTTTTCTATTAGTTGTTGTACAGTTTAAATGTTTGTGGTCGATTGTGTTTAATCCTGAAAAGGTTCAATTTCTTTAATAATTAGTTTTAGAATAATAGAAGTAAAGAGCTTGTACCATAAGTGCAGTGGTGTGGCGGCGCTGTCGTCGCGCCACAAGCGAAACGAACCGAAACCTAAATCACGCTATCAAAATTCCGAAGTACAGCGAATATATGTGAACTATCACATGGAGCGTTGGCCGCTCCCCGGGCAGAACATCTTGCCCGGCGGGAGATCTCCCCCTTTCCTTTCTACGGCCAAAGTGGTTTGTAAACACTGGCCAATAGACTGATGGGCCTGTAGTTTCCAATATCTAGGGAACGATTCCGGCGTTACCGAAGTATGGAGCAGTATTATATTGTTTTGTAGTTATTTATTTTTTATCTACACATCTATACATATAAATAAAATCGTTCGCCTGTAATAGCGAAATAACTACCTTTTATTAAGCTAGTAGTTATTTTTAAAATAATAAAAAGAATAGATTCCATCGAAGCGTAGCCGGGGCTGGTCGCTAGTATAGAATAAGAATGTCTAACGAGAGCACTTAAGAACACAGGAGTGCAAAGTCCACCTGAGTGGATGCTGTGGCACCTACGTAATATATTCCCCATTATGAATCAAAATATAGACGCGTTATCCCTGAGGACTAAGATAGAATGCCTGAATAGTTGGGGTCTCCGGTTCTCTACACTATATACAAAACATAGCAGTATTAAGCTGCTATTTAAAAAAAAGGTATTCTGTAAGACTGTGGTCACTCCCAGGTCGGACTATACATTTCGTGCTGGAACCATAATATAGCTTCGGCGTGGCCCTTCTAGATTTTTAACATTTAATCAGAAACAAGATAACTCATACAATTAAAGAGACTATTGTGTTTGTGATGTTAAACTGGGTTATTAAAGTGCATATATTAAGGAGGCTTTATAAACGAGAAATTTTGCCAAAAACTGTGTTAATTTAGCCTGATGAAATGCCTTGTATAGGTCAGCTAGCTTCAAGGAGAAAAGCTCGAAACAAGTAAGTTGTAAAACATTAACGTAATCAAACGTAATAGTTATGACGTACGAGTATCATAGAAGGATATTGTTTATTTCAAAAGTTCAAACAGTGAAGTACTCTCCCGATAAAAAAAAATTATGTCTTATTATGACATCTACTGGAGTGCGGATGATGCCAATATGCTTAATAAAAACAGCTCATTGTTTCTATTTGGAAAATATTATATTAATACGTGAACATTGAAAATTATCTTACCTTTTTATTATTTATTATAAAAGTCGATTGAAACTTATATCATTCGAGAAGTACTGTACTACTCAACTCTATGCAAAAAAAACGTTACTGTATATGATATTAATATATTATAGTAATAATGTTCTGTACTCGCAAGGTACAGAACGAGGAACAAAATTTTAGTCCGCTTAGAGTGCATCATGTGTATTGCAAACATCTCACCTGCCAGCCCTGCAGCAGAAGCGAGCGGTCCACAGTGCGCAGCCACATAACGGCGTCGCCCGCTTGAAAGTCCCGTAAGCGGTGACATCGCGAATGCAAGAACATGCCGAGACACTTTAGCAGTTCCGATGTGGAGGCCTGGATGACGGTCTTGCGCGCCGGCGGTGGCTTCTCGCACACATTGTTGTTGAGAGCGTTCGCACGCACTATTTCCGGCGGCGCTGGTGCCGGCACGGGCCGAACGAATGGGGCTCCACTACTCACATTCTTGTTCCTGTCCAACGGCGCATTGTCTGCCAATGGCGCGCGGAACGTTGTCACACTTTTGCTCTTGCATTCCAGCTTCTTTTTATTGTTATTAGCTGTGGAGAACCTCTTCCACGAGAGCGCGTTAATGAACAGAGAGTGCTTCTTGAGGTTCTTCTCGAGGGCCGTCTTTTCGGAGATGATCTTGGCGGCGTCTTCGAGCGTGGCACGACGGTCGTCGCGCGGTGCGTCCCGGTTCTCGCGGTTCTTGGCGTTGTTGAGACGCTCGTAGGAGTAGGCGAGTGCGGCGCGGTCGGGTGGCGCTGCTGCCGACGGGCGCCGCTCGCGCGGGCTGAAGCTCAGCACGGTGCCCATTAGGCCCGCGCGCGTTAGCCCGTTAAGTCCCCGCATGCATAGCGTCGCCCTGCGACGGCGGCGGCGGCCCGAGTGGGCTCGATAGACACGCGCCTGCGCGCCGCGGTGCCCGTATCGACCGCCGCCCAGCTGAGTGGCCCCGCCCCGGTAAACAAACCCCCGTCTCCCAGCCGTAAATCACGGAATTACCGATTGGGATAACGCCGCTTCAATTAACTCGCTCGCCTGTCGCTGTCCTGTCGATTATTCTATCGAAATTTGAAAGGTATCCTATCCATCCCATTCAAATCGGCTATACGCGCAGTCCAGCAGATCTCAGATTAAAGAAGATGCAGTTGTTATATAATATTGCGGATGCTTGCACAGCCACTTGAGTTCCCTGATAATCGAATCTTACCTATTTCGATTTCTCCCGAGAAACACAACCTCAATATCAACCTAGATACTCGGCGCTTGACCTGAATACAATTTTCATTAAAAATGCTGACGGCGATGCGAAAGCATTCACGAGGGGAACTCAGAAACGTCAATTTTTCCTGTGACGATTGACGCTTTTGCACATTTCAAGTGCTTACTGGTGCGAAATCTAACGCGTTGATAAAAACTGAATTAAATTAACATCAAAGGTAAAAAATTGACGACTTTGAGAAAAGACACGTATATCGAACTATAAAGTGATTGGTACTTCTTTATGAAATCAGCAATACAGTAATAAGAAAAAAAAGAGTACATTGACCGGGAAACAGGGACCGGAAGTTACGTCTAACCGCACTAGGATACAGTTGATAATAATCGCACGCCACCCCACTCAGTAGTGTATATGTACGCTACTTACAGTAATTTTGTTTTATAATTTCTAGTCACGTAAAATTTCATGATTTTGAAGTAATCAATGATTTCAAGGACTTCTAGAAATTAAACACATTTTAATTCATGTTGTTCCGGTACATTTCGGAATTAATTTGATTTTTTTATATAGGATATTTTTTTATAGGATAGGGTGACAAACGAACACACAGTCCACCTGATGGTAAGTGGTTGCTGTGACCCATAGACATCCACATCTATCCTCAATAAAGAATCAAATGCAGATGCGTTGTCACCCGTGAGGACTAAGATGGAATGCCTCTTTTCCAGTGAAAAGGGTCTCCGGTTCTCTACACTCACCAAACAAAACACAGCAGTGTTAAGCTGCTGTTTAAGGCTGGTATTGTGTGAGAGTGTGGTCCTTCCCCGGTCGAGCCGATCCTTTCGTGCTACAACTATACTACTAATATAGCTGCAGCGTGGTTCTACCACGTATACTATTAAAAAAATAATAGAATATTTTTTAATAAGCTATTAACTGCGCAGGAGATATTATAGTGATAGGTATGCACTAACACAGTAGCTCTTACGTCCTTGCCTACCCGTGCCCGATATAACGGTTACGGCTTGCCAACTGGCCCTGATTTTCCAGGACATCCCGCATGTGGGCATAATTTGAGCCGTCCCGACAACTGACCTTACGGAATGTCTCAGAAATGTTCAATGCATTCGATCATCGTTATAATAATTATAAAAACCAAAAGGACTACATTATTGTTTTTTTTTTTTTTAGATTAAATTTTGTACAATTCTTTATTAAAATGTCGAAAATATATAAAAAAAATAACAAACTTTGGCGTAAAACAATAAATAACGGTTTTGTTGCAAAATTTTATTCGTACCTATTTGAACAAAATCATCGTAAAATCGTTCTCAATTTTTGCATTCTAAAACTGAATAGTGGCTACCGTGTGTTTCGGATATCACAGTAGAAAATCCCGCACCTGACATTATTAGTTTTGCAAGCCTAGTCGTGACTCTAAGATTCAGGTCAGATCGATCAGACTCAGACTCAGATCAGCGGCTGATCTCTCTGGTTAAGATGAAGTGCCAGAGGCATGGAACGGACTACACTTTATTTTATTTTATTATTTATATAGGAATATACTTACAATTATTACTTTAACCATTTGACACGAAAAATCCAATTGGAGTTATCAATAAAATATCACGATATTTGTAACGGTACGCAGTGTTACGTTTTTTTTTTTTTGTATTTATTTTAATAGCAAGGGAATTAAACATAAATTATACGAAAAGTACTGTGACATAGAAGTGCAGAAAAAAGTACTGTGTATTTTGGCGTTAGCAACCTCGTGATTTTTCATACAAAATCTGTGACTGTGTCTTTGAATTAAACGGTCGAATTTCGATCAGATGCGATAGTATTATATTATGCACTTAAAAAAATATATAAATATATATATATATATATATATATATACATATGTGTGTGTGTGTGTGTGTGTGTGTGTGTGTGTGTGTGTGTGTGTGTGTGTGTGTGTGTGTGTGTGTGTGTGTGTGTGTGTGTGTGTGTGTGTGTGTGTGTGTGTGTGTGTGTGTGTGTGTGTGTGAATTTATACTGTATTAATTATGGTGCAAGTATATTCTCCTCCCCCCCCCGTATGAGAAAATCCCCTATGGAAAAATCAATGGCAACCTCTTAACGGTAGACGAAGTGTATGCTCAGGACCGTGCTATGCATTCCTTGGGGGAGGCCTATGTTCAGAAGTGGGGCTAGGGCTGTAATGATGATGATGATAAAACATGTAAAAATCTTAATGCAACCATTGTAGTAATATGTACTACGTTCTAAAACAGACACCGCGAACAAAACCTGTGCGGCAGTGCGGGACAATGTAAGGAGCCAGTGGAAGGAGCAAGTACTATTTTATGGCACAGACTAAGTAAGTTTGAACCCGCGGGCTCTAATGCATGTTGTAAACAACCAAGACTCGGCGTCTCTTCTAGTACGTAGTACATAATATTATTTCAATTATTGCAACACGCAACATAACGTCACGCTAAAGAACATAGGATGACGGTATGATTTAGTGGAAAATACATTTACGAGTACATGTGTAAATGGTCAAACCGTTCATTCCCGCGGGCCTGGAGCGTTCATCGATTGTCCTCATGTCACGGTTGACTTGAGGACAATCGATGAAGAAATGTCTCTTTGACAGTAAAGGGGTTACCGGTACTCACTCTTGATACTCTTTCGCAAATACCAAGTGTCAAAGACTATGATGGGTGCTCACAAACCCACCCTAACCAACGAGAAGGCAATTTGAACAACAAAGAAATAAAAAAGGTTAAATAAAGAAAAAAAGAGACTTGTTATAGAGTTCCATCGTCAATATTTATTCCCCTTGTTCGTGCGACGTAAAGCGATTATGCAAATGAACATTTTCATAGATTTTAATACTAAATGACAAGCTTGTACTGCGGCTCAAATTATTTGAATATTTTGTCATACATCATTACAAGTACTCACAGACAGGTAGTTTAGCAAATTTTATTAATATTTAAGAAATGTTAGGTAGGCTGCTAGAACCTACTACTAAATGAACAGTGGCGGACTATCCTTAAGGCAAACTAGGCACGTGCCTCGGTTTAGGCACACAAGGTTAAAAAGATTCGCCCGCGGAAGTATTAAACAAAAGATTCTTCGTATTTGATTACTCGCACTTCTACATCACCCTTACTCTCTCATCACAATTTTCATTTAAGCCCACTTGTCGAGGGTACTCATGTCCTAATTATTTGCAACTATTTTTTTTAATTTTTTTGTCAAAAAACATTACCACCAAAGTAGTATTTTCTCCTGTATCGTGGAGGCAGTTTACAAGCATAAATTGCACGAGGACAAACATACAAATACTTGTTCCGTGAGTCCCTTGGTGCTGCATCTTATTACTAAGTCACTGCGCCACGGAGCCGTTAAAATAATAGTAGTTAAATAATAGTTAATATAATATATATAGGTGATAAGAGGGCTGGTTCTTTCCTCGCTCAAAGGCTAAGTATAGCCATTCAGCGAGGAAACGCAGCCAGCGTTCTTGGCACGATACCGCGGGGAGTAGGACTATATGATAATTAAGTTTCTAGTTTTAGTTTTTTTTATCATAGTTTTTAATATTGTACATAAAATTAAGTATTATGTATGGTTTTTAATTAATAAAGATTTTAATGTAATAATGTGAGTATATATTAAACTATATTATAATATTATTTATTTGCAAAATATTATTTAATTGCGTCATAATTATTTATATGGCCGCTAAAGGGGCGCCGATGCGGAGCTAACCTAGGGCTCTTTTTATAAGGGTGACAAACGAGCACACAGCCCACCTGATGGTAAGTGGTTGCTGTGACCCATAGATACCTACATCTATCTTCAATAAAGAATCAAACTGCAGATGAGTTGTCACCCGTGAGAACTAACATGGAATGCCTCTTTTCCAGTAAAAAGGGTCTCCGGTTCTTTACACTTACCATACGAAACACAGCAGCGTTAAGCTGCTACTTTACGCTGGTATTCTGTGAGAGTATGGTCCTTCCCCGGTCGAGCCGTTACCCATTCGTGCTACAACTATATGTCTAACATAGCTGCAGCATGGCTCTACCACGTATATTCTAGACTCCGTCGACATTTAATCCGCCTCTGTAGGTGTGCATATATTTGCACATAGCGTTTACCTCATGAGCTATCACGGTGCTTGACGGTGTTAAAATAAAACACCATTTGTACATTTCTTCATCATTCGTAAAAGTCCACTACTAAACATTGACCTCTTAGGATTTGCCTTTATCGTTACACTTACCTGGATGGCTAGCATGAGCTGGGGACAAAAAATTTATCCCCCGATTATATCCACTGACAAGAGATAAAATTATCTTGTCCTTATGCCAAAGCACATCAAATGGGGAGACGTATATCCCCGTTTGACATAACGAGTAGACATATATCCCCCGTCCGCAGCATAGAACCAAAAAGATAAAAAAGTATGCTATTTTGACATTTGAAAGGGATAATTTTATCCTAGTTCATTGGATGTGGGTTTAAGTTTATATTCTTACAAACAATCTAATCAAATAAAAATCTAAATAAAAATCTATCTAAGTCTAATTCTATCTCCCATTTTATCTACTGTGGATATTATATC